CTACAAAAGCCACACTTATTCTAACACAGCTCAACAACTTGCTATATCAACAGCCCTTCACCAAGCTAAAAATCACAAACAATCCAACACTTGGCTCATTAAAACAAATTTAAAACAAATGTTCAAAAACCCAACCCGACCTGATAAACAACATCATACAAAACATTTCAGAATTAAATGCAGTAAATAAAACTATACGTCTACTATGGATATTTGGTCACACTAACATACCTCGGGGGCGCTCGGGTAGCCCAGTGGTTAAAGCGTTCGCTCGTCACGCCGAAGACCCGGGTTCGATTCCCGACATGGGTACAATGTGTGAAGCCCATTTCTGGTGTCACCCGCCGTGATATTCCTGGAATATTGCTAAAAGCGGTGTAAAACCATACTCACTCATTCACTCACTAACATACCTCGAAATGACTCAGCAGACATTGCAGCTAAGCTCACAACCACACACCCATCACCAGAAATAAATGTTAACACTTCTAAAGCCGAGATTAAATCCACAATTAAACAATGCATCAAAATTAAAAATTTCCACGATGGTTGGCAGATAATTAAGAGATATTTCGCAGATACCGGATGAAGAGAAACATATGGGAAGGCATCCTGTACATCTAGACTGTTCATTGAATCACCTGGCCTGAGCAAAGTCTACAATTGTGAACTGATTCCATTTGGAACTTTGGTGGTCGTAATAGGTACTCCTTGCTGAGAACTTTCGATCTATTATCATGCACATATCTGACGTGATATTCGTGGAAACAAGGAATACTAGAAAATGTAAACATTTTGCATATATGAAATACCAAACATATTTTGTAAAAAGAAATGTACATAACGTACTGTTTTCATCATTCTTTCGCAGTAATTACGTCTCGTCTGAACAGGAAACAAGGTTCCATTTTCAGAACTTCGGACAGGCATTGCCATATATTGGTCGCAAGGCATCCACAGACAAGCAATGTCCAACCCCGGACTCGTCTCTCAAGCACCGGACAGTTATATTTCTGGGGAGCTTCCTCCAGTTATTGTATCAGTCAGTAATTGAGTTCTCACTAAGATCAAAGTATCCCCCAAAGCAGTGTTCCTTGTAACATGCAACCAAGAACAATCCTTTCTGTGAAGAATCTTACACGATTTAGAGTGAAAGTTATGAGAGAAATATATGAAGATAAATCAAGATCAAAATAAAAAAATTACCGCAACTAAATAAGATATTCTAAAATGGCTATCGACTTTTAATATGCTATGTATGAAGGCAGGTCTCGGAAAGTTTGGAAGCATTTCACGCAGTGGATTCAGGGGAGTATGGATTTGAAGACCTGTATTCAAAACGCACTGTGAAAACACTGAATACAATATGGGTGCTAAACCACTGACCAAAGTCAAAGAACAAAAACTGTCAAGCACCTAAAGCAACAGACACCTGGAACGTTTGAAAGTAATCGGACAATCGGTTGCGGAGCAAAAGGGCGAACTATATATTAAAAAAATACTTCTTTTTTAGGTATCTGCCCCCGGTCATTGGGCCTACAAGCGCACAAACATACGCAAAAACGCACGCTCTGCCGTGGATGTTTTGCAGAACTATCTATATACGCATACAAAATCTGAACATAATCGTGCAACTGAGTGGACGAGAAGCGGTGCTTTCACAATGGTGTGGACGTACACGACAAAAACGACAGTTTTCGATACTACTGACGTTAAGCGAATGAGCTTGAGTGACTTGATTGAATGAATGAATGGAGATTACTGCCGTACCTGCGTGTCACGTGCGAAGATGGTGCTCATTACTTGAGCGCACCGACTTGGCGTGGGTGGCGCACGGATGTAGAGGAGAAAACCAGCTGCCATTGGGACAGGCGCACCAACTCGGCTTGGTTTGAGAAGGACGCGCCCGAGTCAGGAGCACTATCTCCACGTGAGACTAGCGCGCCGACTCTGCTTGGGCTTCGTACGAGTCCGACTAAGGCTGTGACCCCAGCTCTGGTAAGGACTGGCCCGCCGACGCTTCGAAATTGGCGTATGCCAGAGTGAACAATTGTTTCAAACGCTTTTCCGACCTCGTCCATATTCGAATCCTTGGGTGGGCTTGTACCAACGTCGTCAGGAGTAAGGCACCGCTACGAAATAAGCGTCTACCGAAGCGTCCCAGGGTATTCTAAACCCATTTCCGACCTCGTAGATATTCGAATCCTCAAATGGTTTGCTTGTACCAGCGCCGTCAAAAGTAAGGCACTGTTGCGGCATATAGCCGATACGAAATTGGCATTTGCCGGATCCATTTCAGACCTCGTCCATACTCTAATCCATCAATGGTTTGCTGGTTCCAACGACGTCAAAAGTTAGGCTTTGCTTGTGGCATGTCGCCGCTACAAAATTTCGTTTAATGTAGGGTCCGTAAAACCGTCTCAAACCTCGACCATGTTCGAATCCTCAAATGGTTTGATTATCGCCGCTAAAAAAATGCGTATGCTGAAGTGTCAGTACAACCGTCTCAGACCTCGACCTTGTTCGAATCCTCATATGGTTTGATTGTACCAACGCCGTCAAAATCAATGAACTGCTTGCGGCATATCGCTGATAGGTTACTGCGTCCCGGTGTCTTCTAAAACCATTTCCCACCTCAACAATGTTCGAGGTGAGGTGGTGAAATAGGGTTAAACGTCGCGTCCAAGATAATTGCACTTATACAGCGGCGTGAATGCACTTGTACTGTGTGTGTGGCTGCTTTTACTAGTCCGGACAGATGCCGATTTATAGTGCAAGCAGACTGACATACCTTGCCGCAGTTGAACATGCTTGAATACCCGACTCAGACACAGTATACTGAATCTGACCAGTCCTTGTTTTAGCCCCTTAATGCGGAGCGCCAGACAGGGTAACAACAAGTATCATATTTTATCGTATTTTAGTATGATGCGGCCTGGGATCAAACCCCGGACCTTCCGCTCTCCAGGCGGTCACTATAAAACCTTTGAAGATCAGGGTTAGAATTGGTCTTCAACAACCCTTGGTTGTCTCAAGAGGCGACTCTCCTTGTCCTAAGATGCGATTAACTGGACCAGGCTCGCTGACATGGTTGATGCACAGCTTTATTGCTCAATTGCCAATTGCCAACTGCTACGGCACCTTACTTTTTACGGCTTTGGTACAAGCAAACCATTTTAGGATTCTAACATCGAGGTCGAGGTCTGAAATGGGTTCAGACCACTCTGGGACGCTCCAGCACACACAATTTCGTATCGGCGTTACCTCAAACGGTGCCCTACTTTTGACGGCGGTGCCACACAAACGTGCATGCACGTCGCTATATAAGTGCAATAATCTTGGACGCAACGTTAAACCCCATTTCACCTCACCTTGCCTCAAAGGTAGTATACATAATACCAAGGGCATTTGCAACAAGACCCTGTATTGCTCTTGGGCCTTTGGGAAGTGCAAAGGGGCTAATCGTATGTTTCTGGGGTGCTTCCTTCAGTATTTGTACTCCAATCACGGTATTAACTAAAATCAGATATGAATGCAAAACTTAAATGTGTTACTTTAAACGTGCAATCAAGGGCGAAAAATGAGGTCCACACTTTATGCACACTCTCTATACTTTCTGTGAAGGACCTTACAAGATATCATCTTTAAAATATAATTTAAGAGAAAAACATGATCAATATCAAAGTCCAATATGGTCGCAACTAAAATAGATATAAAAAACGTTTATCAACGTTTGATGTGTTATGTATGGATACAAAGGTCATGCTTTGTATCTGAAGAGAAATGTATGTACATTAAATTTAAAAGACAAACAAACATGTGTATTATGTAATAGGTCACATATCATGGAATAATTGTATATCAATTGTGTAAGATCCGCAAAGAAATTAGATAGAAATGTATTGTTCTCTGGGCGACGAGGCCACCCATACTGAAAATAAAGAATCTTGAATGTAATGTGTTCTACGTTTATCATCACCGTTTAAATACCTTTTTCAGGCTAATCACAGTGTCAGCTGGGAAAGGCTAGGTTAGGTAGATTTGCGTTGTTTTGATATATATAGCGCTATGATTCGTATTTGTTAAGTGAAGACAGAAAAGAAGTTTTCTAGAATTATAGATGTGCTTTAGCACGGGACCACGGACGTCATCACAAATAATTAGTGCTCGTTATCACCACGCGATTGTGTAACATGCGCACTAACTATTCTCTCTGAGATGCTCGAAACTTGTTGGAATTTCCTCAAATTAATCCAAGGCTAGGCTTGGTTCAAGTTGGTTACCTACCGGAACCCTAACATACCTAAACATGCGAAATCTGTGAAGCGACAGCGACAGCCGACACCCGACAGCTATAAGGTGTGCCCACTAAATTGCACTATCTTACCCCCAAACCTGATTGGTTCACGTGATCTTGATAAAATACGACGTATCCCGCTAGGGAGGGAATACACAGTGACAATTATAATCCTTATACACCGCTGCAAAGTAAAAGGCTGCACGTTGTTTTTGAGTCAATGAAAGTCACATGACACAGCAAAAGTTAACATCAGCTCAACCGAGCAGCTGTTTGCTATCATTTTATATTTAATTTTTTTTTTTAAGGACAGATTGAAACATGTCGGCATGATAAATTCATGTTAAAAACGAATTTATCATTCCGACATGTTTCAATGTTGCCTAGACTGCCTGAGTACCCGCTACCATATGTAAAGGAATAGCTGTCCAAGACAATGATATCGCTTGACTACCAGTATCAAATGCTGTGAAGCTTTTCAGCCGGTTGTCATCATGAAAAACGTTGATATCCGATGGATCGTTTTGTGATATAGCCGGTGAAATGAAAAGGCAGAAAAACTGTTAAACAATGTGAACATGTGTTGCAATAAATGTCACCATAAAATAAAGAGTTTTGTTGTTTTAGTACCGCACCAAACCGTACCAGCGTTTCATTTACAGTTCCCTGAAATAGAACCTAAGACCAATGATTAAAATGTTACCTGAATGTTCTGCTGTGACCGTGCAGGAGGTGTGGCGATATGGAGAGCGAAAATAGAATCACGTGTTATATAACGGGGCATTCCATTTTGCTCAAAATTTAGGGGGGTGCAAGTGCTTGGATTATTGTTATGACTGTTGGTTTAACATCTGGTCAACATTTATTTGGACATCCTAAATCACGCTGAAGATACTTATTCAAGTGATAAATGTTTTTGCCTTTTAATTATCCCCCATCTATTGTGCGCATGTCACTTAAGGCTACCCGTTGGACCCTAAATCAACATTCGGACATTCTACTTAAGAAAGACAGGGTGTCCATATTTATAAGCTGCCCATGCACATGACTCAAATAGAAGATTGAGCTCGAGGAACGTAGACGTCAAAACAAGGTAAGCGTCATTTTTGAAACCCTTCATTCAGGAACACGCCCTATTTTAATTCTCAAAACCCATTTTTCTAGACACAAACTATATCATGCTGTTTCCATTAGTACGCGCTGACGATGGACAAAATAAAATATTCTTCTTTTTACAAAAACATTGAAACCACCTTGCCCACTGGTTATAATCAGGATTATTTGTGAAAGAGGGAATTTACTTAAGTATAGCCACCAATTACAAAGCGAGCATGAGATTATACCTTCTTGATTTGTCCTTTACTAAGGTCAGACAGGCAGAAAGACAAACAGACATGTTATTAGTATTTTTTGGCTACGAGGCCAATAGGAAAGTCACAGTTTTACAAAAAGAATATACAGGGCGGCTGTAAAGATCAGTTATTACAAATTTTACACAGTTGTATATATTTTACTATATAGGCTACTGGAAAAGAAATTCGGAACTTATTTCTTTCTTTCTCCTGCACACAAAGGCCTTTCAAACACAATATTGAATTCAACTTCCCGAACGTTCAAACAATACTAGCACATAGCCATACTAATATAATTAACTTTTCATCTTCTAAGCCATTCGTCACAACTCGCCCCTTTCCGTAATCTGCAAGAAGACTTGTCCCCCTATCGATGAATGTTGTGTGCGAAAATACGACAAACCAATCAGAATTCGCGTATGATTTCGAGTTATTTGTCAAATAATCCCTCAGAAATAATTTTTGATTTTACACGTCTTGCACCTAAAAATATACCCAAGACACAGTTAAATGTGTTCAATCATACTGTATAATTCCGCATCCCGATGTGCTTTTAATTGCATCTGAAATATATATAACATATGGGGAAATATATGTGATCCATTACGCAACGAGTTGACAATTGTTTTAGGTGTGCCCGTTTGCGCTAAGACGGAACCCAGTCGCCAAAATTGCCATGAGAGGGTCACGAGTCGCTATTCGGCTTGTCCCGGAATAACACGAATTGGTCATGAATGCTTCTAAGCAGCTGAATTTTTGTGTTAAAAATACCACATCCGAACCATGTTGAGGATATTCGTAGTTGCGGAGACGATAAGGGCTTGTAGATAGAACTCGGGCGGAATGCTCGGACTTATATTTCGAGTAGGTTTGTAAAACCTTAAGAGTTAGCTATGTCAGATGACCATTCTTGGTAGTCTTTGCACAGCTTTTTTTAAGAGACAAAAATAGTTCTCGGTTTCCAACATCTTGAGAAATCCAAGCGCAGGAAAATCCATATTTGAATAATAAGTCTCGAACTGATGAAATTCCGTTTGAATCTCCAATATCTTCTTAACACTTTAACATGTTGTATTAGTGTTTCGAATGACGTGATTCTGGTTGTGTTAGTAATCTTATTTTATCTTGCCTTATCTTATGTGAAATAACTATTGTTTTATAATATATTTGCAATGGATAACTGCCAATTTCAGAGAGCCTACACCTTAACACATTTCCTGAATTTTTAATGTCCTTTTGCCTTGTTGTATCGGTAAATTGTTCCCCATATTTCTGCGCCATAACCGAAGTTGTTTGAATTTGACCATCAAATATCATGAATAGTGCATCAGGAGGTATCGCCTTCTTGATAGGATATAAAACCTTTCCTACTTGTCTACAAGTACATCCATTTCTCTTGCGAATGGATTTCTACCAGAAAGCGTTATTATTAGGTTTTTGTATATAAGAGGTTTCTAATTTTTCGGATCCAATAAACCATTCAACACAGGCAACTTCCCAGAATCGTGGCAATTCGGTCTTACCTTTCCATTAAACGAATCGGGGAAAAGTTGATGATAAGAAGCAATATTCATCAACGCTATTTCCCTGACTGCCAATTAACGTGTAATCCCCTTGCGTATCACTGTCAGATCTCTTATTAACAGCATGTATTTTCTTATTCCTGCACACATGTTAGTTTACCTAGAGTATTTACAATATTGTCTTTAGACGTTCTGGGTACCTTAAAAACATCAGTATCTTAATCGTGATCATCAAAAGGTAAATAACTAACACTATCATCTTCGATAAAACAATGTCCAAAAGGAGCATTCATATCACCGACAATTGTAATTACAGCCTGGGTACTCAATATGGAGTAATGTAAGGCTATTTTCTTAAGCCCGAACAATCTTAAAGGTTTATGTATGTTGTTGTAACATCGTGGACGTACTCACGTGCCGCCGCCATATCTACCCACAGAGTGGGACTGCTTCAGTACACCCTGGTGACAGATTAACCCTGGAAAGGCGTATTCAAAGTCGGTAGTATTTTTAACCCAGGTTTCAAGCACATTATATTCACACAGGTAACCCTACTTGTGGATTTGGGAATAGAGTCCATTAATTTTCCATGTTAACACTGAAATAGGAATGAAAGGTAATCTTTTGTCAGCATTAATATAATTAGAGTGAGTGAGTGTGTTGGGTTTAACGCCGCTTAACAGTATTCCAGTTATATCGCGGCGTGTCAGCTTAGTGTGGGAGGAAAGCCTGAAGTGATGCAGGTCTCAGACGTTTAGCACTTCTGTCTCCCTGACTTTTGTGTTCCGCGTCTGCTTCGGGGGACTGGTTGACATCCTTGTGTCGTCTACTATGGCTGGACTATATAGTGTCAGGGCTCTCGGGAGTTTCGGCCCATCGTCTGCAACTGCTGCGACTAGTGTCGGGGGTCTCGGGAGTTTAGGCCCATCGTCTGCTACGGCTGTGTCGGGGCTCTCGTTAGTTTTGGCCCATCGTCTGCTACGGCTGCAACTACTGTCGGGGCTCTCGGGGGTTTCAACCCATCGCCTGCTACGGCTGCCACTAGTGTCGGGGCGCTAGAGAGCTTAGGTCAATCGCCTGCTACGGCTACAACTCGTGTCGGGCGTCTCAGCAGTTTCGGTCCATCGTCAGCTGCGGCTGCAACTATTGTCGGGGCCTTAGAGAGCTTTGGTCCATCGTCTGCTACGGCTGCGACTAGTGTCGGGGATCTCGAGAGCTTCGGTCCATCGTCTGCTACTGCTGCAACTCGAGTCGGGACTATCGGCAGTTTCGGTCCATAGTCTGCTACGGCTGCATCTAGTGTCGGGCTCTCGGGAGTTTCAGCCCATCGTCTGTTACGGCTGCAACTAGTGTCGGGGCTCTCGGGAGTTTCGGCCCATCGTCTGCGCATGCTATTGCTGCAACTAGCGTCGGGGCCCTGGAGAGCTTCGGTCCAGCGTCTGCTACGGCTGCAACTAGTGTCTGGGCTCTCGTTAGTTTTGGCCCATCATCTATTACGGATGCGACGAGTGTCTGGGCCCTAGAGAGCTTCGGTCCAGCGTCTGCTACGGCTGCAACGAGTGCCGGGGATCACTTGAGTTTCAACACATCGTCTGCTACGGCTGCAACTAGGTTCGGGGCCCTAGAGAGCTTCGATCCAGCGTCTGCTACGGCTGCAACTAGTGTATGGGGCTCTCGGGAGTTTCGGCCCATCGTCTGCGCATGCTACGGCTGCAACTAGTGCCGGGGTTTCGGGAGTTTCGGCCTATCGTCTGCGCATGCTATGGCTGCACCTAGCATCGGGGCCCTAGAGAGCTTCGGTCCAGCGTCTGCTACGGCTGCATCTAGTGTCGGGGCTCTCGGAGTTTCAGTCCATCGTCTTCTACGGCTGCAACCAGTGTCGGGGGTCTCGGGAGTTTCAACCCATCGTCTGCGCATGCTATGGCTGCACCTAGCGTCGGGGCCCTAGAGAGCTTCGGTCCTGCGTCTGCTACGGCCTCCAACTAGTGTCGGGGCTCTCGTTAGTTTCGGCCCATCGTCAGCTACGGCTGCGACTAGTGTCGGGGGTCTCGGGACTTTAGGCCCATCGTCTGCTCCGGCTGCAACTAGTGTCGGGGCTCTCGTTAGTTTTGGCCCATCGTCTGCTACGGCTGTAACTACTGTCGGGGCTCTCGGAGTTTCAACCCATCGTCTGCTACTGCTGCCACTAGTGTCGGGGATATCGGGAGCTTCGGTCCATCGTCTGCTACTGCTGCAACTCGTGTCGGGACTATCGGCAGTTTCGGTCCATCGTCTGCTACTGCTGCAACTAGTGTCGGGCTCTCGGGAGTTTCAGCCCATCGTCTGCTACGGCTGCAACTAGTGTCGGTGCTCTCGGATATTTCGGCCCATCGTCTGCGCATGCTATTCCTGCAACTAGTGTCGGGGCCTTAGAGAGCTTTGGTCCATCGTCAGCTACGGCTGCGACTAGTGTCGGGGATGTCGGGAGCTTCGGTCCATCGTCTGCTACTGCTGCAACTCGTGTCGGGACTATCGGCAGTTTCGGTCCATCGTCTGCTACGGCTGCAACTTGTGTCGGGCTCTCGGGAGTTTCATTCCATCGTCTGCTACGGCTGCAACTAGTGTCGGGGCTCTCGGGAGTTTCGGCCCATCGTCTGCGCATGGTATTGCTGTAACTAGCGTCGGGGCCCTAGAGAGCTTCGGTCCAGCGTCTCCTACGGCTGCAACTAGTGTAGGGGCTCTTGGGAGTTTCGGTCCATTGTCTGCTACGGCTGCGACTAGTGTCGAGGCTCCAAGCAGTTTCGGTCCATCGTCTGCTACGGCTGCGACGAGTGTCTGGGCCCTAGAGAGCTTCGGTCCAACGTCTGCTACGGCTGCAACTAGTGTCGGGGATCACTTGAGTTTCAACACATCGCCTGCTACGGCTGCAACTAGGTTCGGAGCCCTAGAGAGCTTCGGTCAAACGTCTGTTACGGCTGCAACTAGTGAAGGGGCTCTCGGGAGTTTCGGCCCATCGACTGCGCATGCTACGGCTGCAACTAGTGTCGGGGCCCTAGAGAGCTTTGGTCCATCGTCTGCTACGGCTGCGACTAGTGTCGGGGATGTCGGGAGCTTCGGTCCATCGTCTGCTACTTCTGCAACTCGTGTCTGGACTATCGGCAGTTTCGGTCCATAGTCTGCTACGGCTGCAACTAGTGTCGGGCTCTCGGGAGTGTCATCCCATCGGCTGCTACGGCTGCAACTAGTGTCGGGGCTCTCGTTAGTTTCGGGCCATCGTCTGCGCATGCTGTTGCTGCAACTAGCGTCGGGGCCCTGGAGAGCTTCTGTCCAGCGTCTGCTACGGCTGCAACTAGTGTCTGGGCCCTAGAGAGCGTCGAACCAGCGACTGATACGGCTGCAACCAGTTTCGGGGATCACTTGAGTTTCAACACATCGTCTACTACGGCTGCAACTAGGTTCAGGACCCTAGAGAGCTTCGGTATAGCGTCTGTTACGGCGTTAACTAGTGTCGGGGCCCTAGAGAGCTTCGGTCCTGCGTCTGCTACGGGTGCAACTAGTGTCGGGGCTCTCGTTAGTTTCGGCCCATCATCTGCTACGGCTGTGTCGGGGCTCTCTTTAGTTTTGGCCCATCGTCTGGTACGGCTGCAACTACTGTCGGGGCTCTCGGAGTTTCAACCCATCGTCTGCTATGGCTGCAACCAGTGTCGGGGTGCTAGAGAACTTCGGTCCAGCGTCTTTTACGGCTGCAACCAGTGTCGGGGCTCTCGGGAGTTTCAACCCATCGTCGGCTACAGCCTGCAACTAGTGTCGGGGCTCTCGTTAGTTTCGGCCCATCGTCCGCTACGGCTGCGACTAGTGTCGGGGGTCTCGGGAGTTTAGGCCCATCGTCTGCTACGGCTGTGTCGGGGCTCTCGTTAGTTTTGGCCCATCGTCTGCTATGGCTGCAACTACTGTCGGGGCTCTCGGGGGTTTCAACCCATCGCCTGCTACGGCTGCCACTAGTGTCGGGGCGCTATAAAGCTTAGGTCAATCGCCTGCTACGGCTACAACTCGTGTCGGGCGTCTCAGCAGTTTCGGTCCATCGTCAGCTGCGGCTGCAACTATTGTCGGGGCCTTAGAGAGCTTTGGTCTATCGTCTGCTACGGCTGCGACTTGTGTCGGGGATCTCGGGAGCTTCGGTCCATCGTCTGCTACTGCTGCAACTCGAGTCGGGACTATCGGCAGTTTCGGTCCATAGTCTGCTACGGCTGCATCTAGTGTCGGGCTCTCGGGAGTTTCAACCCATCGTCTGCGCATGCTATGGCTGCACCTAGCGTCGGGGCCCTAGAGAGGCTTCGGTCCTGCGTCTGCTACGGCCTCCAACTAGTGTCGGGGCTCTCGTTAGTTTCGGCCCATCGTCAGCTACGGCTGCGACTAGTGTCGGGGGTCTCGGGACTTTAGGCCCATCGTCTGCTCCGGCTGCAACTAGTGTCGGGGCTCTCGTTAGTTTTGGCCCATCGTCTGCTACGGCTGTAACTACTGTCGGGGCTCTCGGAGTTTCAACCCATCGTCTGCTACTGCTGCCACTAGTGTCGGGGATATCGGGAGCTTCGGTCCATCGTCTGCTACTGCTGCAACTAGTGTCGGGCTCTCGGGAGTTTCAGCCCATCGTCTGCTACGGCTGTAACTAGTGTCGGTGCTCTCGGATATTTCGGCCCATCGTCTGCGCATGCTATTCCTGCAACTAGTGTCGGGGCCTTAGAGAGCTTTGGTCCATCGTCTGCTACGGCTGCGACTAGTGTCGGGGATGTCGGGAGCTTCGGTCCATCGTCTGCTACTGCTGCAACTTGTGTCGGGACTATCGGCAGTTTCGGTCCATCGTCTGCTACGGCTGCAACTTGTGTCGGGCTCTCGGGAGTTTCATTCCATCGTCTGCTACGGCTGCAACTAGTGTCGGGGCTCTCGGGAGTTTCGGCCCATCGTCTGCGCATGGTATTGCTGTAACTAGCGTCGGGGCCCTAGAGAGCTTCGGTCCAGCGTCTCCTACGGCTGCAACTAGTGTAGGGGCTCTTGGGAGTTTCGGTCCATTGTCTGCTACGGCTGCGACTAGTGTCGAGGCTCCAAGCAGTTTCGGTCCATCGTCTGCTACGGCTGCGACGAGTGTCTGGGCCCTAGAGAGCTTCGGTCCAACGTCTGCTACGGCTGCAACTAGTGTCGGGGATCACTTGAGTTTCAACACATCGCCTGCTACGGCTGCAACTAGGTTCGGAGCCCTAGAGAGCTTCGGTCAAACGTCTGTTACGGCTGCAACTAGTGAAGGGGCTCTCGGGAGTTTCGGCCCATCGACTGCGCATGCTACGGCTGCAACTAGTGTCGGGGCCCAAGAGAGCTTTGGTCCATCGTCTGCTACGGCTGCGACTAGTGTCGGGGATGTCGGGAGCTTCGGTCCATCGTCTGCTACTTCTGCAACTCGTGTCTGGACTATCGGCAGTTTCGGTCCATAGTCTGCTACGGCTGCAACTAGTGTCGGGCTCTCGGGAGTGTCATCCCATCGGCTGCTACGGCTGCAACTAGTGTCGGGGCCCTAGAGAGCTTCGGTCCTGCGTCTGCTACGGGTGCAACTAGTGTCGGGGCTCTCGTTAGTTTTGGCCCATCGTCTGCTACGGCTGCAACTACTGTCGGGGCTCTCGGAGTTTCAACCCATCGTCTGCTATGGCTGCAACCAGTGTCGGGGTGCTAGAGAACTTCGGTCCAGCGTCTTTTACGGCTGCAACCAGTGTCGGGGCTCTCGGGAGTTTCAACCCATCGTCGGCTACAGCCTGCAACTAGTGTCGGGGCTCTCGTTAGTTTCGGCCCATCGTCCGCTACGGCTGCGACTAGTGTCGGGGGTCTCGGGAGTTTAGGCCCATCGTCTGCTACGGCTGTGTCGGGGCTCTCGTTAGTTTTGGCCCATCGTCTGCTACGGCTGCAACTACTGTCGGGGCTCTCGGGGGTTTCAACCCATCGCCTGCTACGGCTGCCACTAGTGTCGGGGCGCTATAAAGCTTAGGTCAATCGCCTGCTACGGCTACAACTCGTGTCGGGCGTCTCAGCAGTTTCGGTCCATCGTCAGCTGCGGCTGCAACTATTGTCGGGGCCTTAGAGAGCTTTGGTCCATCGTCTGCTACGGCTGCGACTTGTGTCGGGGATCTCGGGAGCTTCGGTCCATCGTCTGCTACTGCTGCAACTCGAGTCGGGACTATCGGCAGTTTCGGTCCATAGTCTGCTACGGCTGCATCTAGTGTCGGGCTCTCGGGAGTTTCAGCCCATCGTCTGTTACGGCTGCAACTAGTGTCTGGGCCCTAGAGAGCTTCGGTCCAGCGTCTGCTACGGCTGCAACGAGTGCCGGGGATCACTTGAGTTTCAATACATCTTCTGCTACGGCTGCAACTAGGTTCGGGGCCCTAGAGAGCTTCGATCCAGCGTCTGCTACGGCTGCAACTGGTGTATGGGGCTCTCGGGAGTTTCGGCCCCTCGTCTCCGCATGCTACGGCTGCAACTAGTGTCGGGGGTCTCGGGAGTTTCGGCCTATCGTCTGCGCATGCTATGGCTGCACCTAGCGTCGGGGCCCTAGAGAGCTTCGGTCCAGCGTCTGCTACGGCTGCATCTAGTGTCGGGGCTCTCGGAGTTTCAGTCCAGCGTCTTCTACGGCTGCAACCAGTGTCGGGGGTCTCGGGAGTTTCAACCCATCGTCTGCGCATGCTATGGCTGCACCTAGCGTCGGGGCCCTAGAGAGCTTCGGTCCTGCGTCTGCTACGGCCTGCAACTAGTGTCGGGGCTCTCGGGAGTGTCATCCCATCGTCTGCTACGGCTGCAACTAGTGTCGGGCTCTCGGGAGTGTCATCCCATCGTCTGCTCCGGCTGCAACTAGTGTCGGGGCTCTCGTTAGTTTCGGGCCATCGTCTGCGCATGCTGTTGCTGCAACTAGCATCGGGGCCCTGCAGAGCTTCTTTCCAGCGTCTGCTACGGCTGCAACTAGTGTCTGGGCCCTAGAGAGCGTCGAACCAGCGAGTGATACGGCTGAAACCAGTTTCGGGGATGCTACAGTTGTAACTTTTGTCGGAGCTCGAGGGAGTTTCGGCGCATAGTCTTCTACGGCTGCGACTAGTGTCAGGGCCCTAGAGAGCTTTGTTCCATCGTCTGCTGCGGCTGCAACTAGTGTCAGGGCCCTAGAGAGCTTTGTTCCATCGTCTGCTGCGGCTGCAACTAGTGTCAGGGCCCTAGAGAGCTTTGTTCCATCGTCTGCTGCGGCTGCAACTAGTGTCGGGGCCCTAGAGAGCTTCGGTTCATCGCCTGCTACGGCTGCGACTAGTGTCGGGGCTCTCGGGATTTTCGGCCCATCGTCTGCTACGGATGCGACTAGTGTCGGGGCCCTAGGAAGCTTCGGTCGATCGTCTGCTACGGCTGCGACAGGAGTCGGGGCTCTTGGGAATTACTGCCCATCGTTTGCGACGAGTGTTCGTGGTCTCCGGAGTTTCTAGCTATCGCCTGCTACGGTTGCGACTAGTGTCAGGGTTCTCGGTAGTTTCTACACATCATCTTTCGGGCTGCTACTAGTGTCGTTTCTCTCCGAATCGGCGCATAGTCTGCAACGGCTGCATCTAGTGGTGTGTCTCTTGGGTTTTTCGGCTATCATCTGCTACGGTCGCAACCAGTGTCGGAGCTCTAGGGAGTTTCGGCGCATAGTCTTCTACCGCTGAGACTAGTGTCAGGGCCCTTGGGAGCTCTCGGGAGCTCTCGGGAGCTCTTGGAAGCTTCGATTCATCGCCTGCTACGGCTGCGACTAGTGTCGGGGCACTCGGGATTTTCGGCCCATCGTCTGCTACGGATGCGACCAGTGTCGGGGCCCCAGGAAGCTTCCTTCAATCAATTTGTGATTTTGCATCAATATGTTCAATGAATTTAATGAGACTGTCCAACACATTGTCAATGGAAGCCCCGCGTATGCACAAACACAGTATCATCAACAACATGATGGAGTGGCTCGATCAATTTATTACCATCTTAGCAATGTCAGTGGTTTTAACGCAAAGGTCCATCCATGGTACGACTCGGAATATGTAGAGGGCGTCTTGGAAAATGATAAATACAATTTTTTTTGGAATAGGCCCGTTTACAGCCTCAGACGTATCCAGGCCAACATACCTGATCCTTTTTGATAAATCCAATGAAATCATTTATATCATTGAATTTTCTGTCCCTTTTGACAGTAATGTGCTTGACAAGATTGAGGAAAAACATGGCAAATATGCAGACCTCGCTTTCGTAATGTCGCGCTGGCATCCTAAGTACCAAGTCGTCCTACTCCCCATTTTTTCTTAGGTTTGTTACCTCCCAATCTGTTGACTGACATACCTGGAGAACCCGGGTTTGCTACCAGGAATACAGCCCTTCAGACAATCTGGGTAATGCAGAAGGCTGCAGTTTTGGGGAGTCTTCACATTCTCCAAAACGTTCTGGGTGGGTTTGACAAGGCAGCGCTTCCTGGGAGACGTCCCATTCGCCGTCTGGGCTGCGCGTCGAGGTGGCAAGGGCCCTGAGCTGATGATAAGCCTAACCAGCCTGACTGTGCCAGGATCACCCAAACCCTCTTTGCTGAATTTGTTTTATTTTAATCTGTAAATGAAAATAATAATAATAAGGATAATAATAATAATAATTCGTGAGACATTTATTCTTGTGTACAATTTTGCAAGGAGTAGATTGACACTTACCATTGTTCATTGTGTTGTCTTTTTGCCAAACAATTAGCATAGAGCTAAAGCTAATTTATTTTCTAAAAGATAAATATTATGTGACTCTGCTTGATTTGTCCAAACACATCTATCATAATCACATGGACTACTATTTATCCGAATGTGACAAAAACGCAGAATGAAATAAAAACAGACAATTTATTTGACAACAAATACTTAAATGAAATACAACTGACAGCATCACATTAAAAACATCTGTAAAAATATACACCACATTCACACTTATCATTTTTCGTCACACAATAACTTATCCCAGATTTAGACACAGAAAATGAATGAAATAATCATCGTTCGTATATCAAGAGACGGGATTAACCTCAAACCCCTTCTTCTTTTGAAATCCACAACCGAGGCTGGAATCTTATTCTTGTGTAAAAGTGGCGTATTTAATGTACGTGGTTATGAGTAGTAACCTGTTTTATATTCTTTTTTAAAATGAGAACTTAACTCAATCCCCGTTTCACGTCTTCAATGCGGCTTTGAATCACCCCTTTGCCATGTCGATTAATGCACTGTAAACAAAAGATAATGGCGGGCGTCTCTCCACTATGACGTCACAGTTACGGCTCGGTCTCAAGCTGGGCAGTTGTTTGTTGCTTCTCAGATAACAATGAAATCACATGTGCCATTCTTGTGTGTATATATGTACTATATATGACAATTTAACATGTTTTAAAAAGTTGTTGTTTTCAATACATCACTTTTAAGATCAACGTTTAAAGATGTTAACAAGAAAAAAACGTGTTATATAAAGTAGTGTAAATTAAAATAAATTCAAGTATTTTCAAGTAAAAAAGGGTCAAGTATTTTGACTAATGTCTAGATTAATGTTTCACATGTAGTTGTTTTTCAATAAGGACTTCTATCTCATTGCAGGAATTGGATCAGCATGGGCATTTTTGGAAGCAAACCAGTGAGTTCTCATTAAAACTTGCAACAACTTTTGCTTTCATAAAGCATTTAGAGGGTCAGAAAGTGGAAATGTTCTGTCGTCTGTTTTGATTGGTTTCTAAACATCATTTCAGACGTATGCCGCATGGGTTGTTTTTATGTTCCCTTTGGTTTCATGTGCAGTATTCGGAACCATATGTGACAAAATAAGAACCGGAAGTACAAATAACTTGGGTAGAACGTGGCCAAGGGCGAGGTGGCTTGGGGGATTGAAGACCTATTCAATTTAGCCTGTGCTTTTGGAAATTGGAGTAGAACCCGAAGTACTTATAACTTTTAACTCAGTGTATGAGGACTTCTTTGAAGTTATACTGAAGTGAACACATTTTCTGAAACCGGAAGTGACATATCATAATCAGAATTACTGTTAATTATTATTAAGTGACATAAAGTCATATAGGGCTTGGGGATTTAGCTGTGCCGCAATAACAATTAGAACTAGGGCTGCTTGTACTAGTCCGGATTATTGCCAATTTTAAAATGCTATCCCACTGAGATACCATGCCGCAGTTTAACATTAATACCGCACTGAGACACACACGGAGCCGACCAGTCCTTGTTTTAACCCCAAGATGTTTGACATTGTTGTTTACTCAAATTTACATATCTTACAAATCTTAATAAGTTTTTCTGCATTATGTATTCAAACAAACAACATGTATGAACGATAAGTTATTTGGATTAATAAATAATATATGTTTAGAACGCCTAATGTTGTAGGTTTTAAAAGACAAATTTCATATGGCAGAAACTTGTTTGTAAAAAATATGCCCACGTTTACTTTTTGGGACAGAAATGTGGGGTTTGTTTGTTGTTTGACGCCAACATTCCAGCTCTATGACGTCGATCTGTAAATAATCGATTCTTGACCAGAAAACCCAGTGATTGACATCATGAGCATCGATCCACGCATTTGGGATACGGATGATATGCACCAATCTCGTCAGTCGCCTCTAACGACAAACATAGTCGCCCTTTACGCCCTTAACGGCAAGCATGGGTTGCTAAAGACCTATTCTACCCCGGATCTTCACGGGGCGAAATATGGGGTGTAAATAATAAATTATGTAAAGAAATTGACACTGTACATACATTAGCCTGTACATGTTGTAAAATCACCAACTGCAAGTCATGTTGTCAGATATGCATGTTGCAGATATATTTATGCCTATGAACGGGATGTAAAATATCAGTGTAAAATGTTATATATGCCTGACTCCTCTATTTTGTAACTAAATGCAGCACACAATGGTAAACACAAATTAGGCATCAAACATTGGAAGTTATTTTTTTTAGATATGGGCGCTCAGTCAACCCCAAACGTACCTTTTTCTTTGGCATTATTTCTTCTAAGATTGAAACTATCACACGGTCTTTACTGGCATGGTGTGTTAACTGTCAAATGATTACTCTTTGTATGAATTCTTTGTATAAAGTTCAATACTGAATACCATATCCTAGCTCTGTCTTAAACGTATTCAATTTTCAAACGCAACATCACAGTTAAGATGCAGTTGTCATGGCCTTAGAATTGAATCAGGAAGGTTTTCTAAAGAAAAGAGAGAAGATAGAATTTGTGTTATTTGTAAACTGAAGAGAATTATATAGAAGACGGACACCATTTTATTTTGAAGTTTATAACAAACTAGTACTATGATCTCAGAGCCAAAGTTAACTCACCAACATATTATATACTGAACCGCAAAAGAAACGTCACCCCAAGTAACATTGTATGAAAAGTTGTCATATAAATATCTGAGTAATTATTGTCAAAGTTTCTAAAATTCCTGTCTGGAAAAATGAAATTTGATGATAAAAAAACAAAGCAGGTGACAATAGAACCGATCGCGCAAATGCATCACGGCAACGGCCATGGTAACACGATGCACGTTGAGTTCCGTGCAAATTGAAATGCACATGCGTTCCCCGATTTCTTGCCCTATAAAAATCCACCCAGATCGGATAACATTCATTCGTTATTTAATTGCTACCACATGCCAAGATTGACAAGAAATCATCGACACCAAGCCCTTGGACGATTTCAAGCTAGACAAACGGCCCGTCAAGTACATGTAGCCACTTCATTTCAAGTCCACGTAAGGACCATATCAAAGCTCCAGCAACGGTACCAGACCACCAACACCACTGATGACAGATGAAGACCAAGGGTCACCACCCGACGTCAGGATCGTCATATTGTGCGACAGCATCTTCAAGATCGCTTTGATACTGCTACGGAAACTGCTCGACAGACCATGGGAACACACCAGCGACACATTATTGCAGACACCGTTCGTCGACGATTGACGAGCAGACACCTCCACTGTCACAGGCCACACCAAGGATCCATTCTGACACCACGTCATCGCCGGGACCGTATACAGTGGGCAACACAGCACCAACATTGGCGCCACTAGCAGTGGAGAAGAGTCCTCTTCTCAGACGAGAGCCGTTACTGTATCTCAACAGCAGATGACAGAGAGGGAGAGTCTGGCGACGCCGTGGAGAACGTTATTCGGATGCTTGTGTTGTCGAGAGAGACTCATGGGGTGGTCCGAGCATCACGGTGTGGGGTGGAATTGGTCTTGCACAGAGGGTCGGCCATGTGGTCTTCCAGAACATCGGTCCAGGGAGAGGCAATGGTGTCACAGCAGCTTGGCACATTGATCAAGTCTTGAGACCACACGCCATTCTACATTTGGCACGTCGCCGCAACCACGAGTTTCAGCATGATAACGCCCGTGCCCACACTGCAAGAGCAACAAGAGACTTCCTCCCGCAGAATGGCATCACAACCACGCAGTGGCCTGCGTTCAGTCCCGATTTACATCCCATTGAGCACCTGTGGGACGAGATTGAACGACGGCTGAATGACGTTCGACCAAGGCACCAACTGCAGCTGAACTGCGTCAGGCGTTCCTCAGTGTGAGCTCAAGTGCCTATGGCCTTCATCAACCGCCTCATCCATTCCGGCACGGCAATCATCAATGCAGATGGCGGACACACGAGATACTGATGCAATTTTCTCAGAGACTAACGTTGTGTTTCACTTTAAGAATATTTGACACTTAATTTCAACCTTGATGATCAGTTTTGCCAAATTTCATCTTTTTAATATGTCTCAAAGTATGTTTACAGTGTTTGGACAAATAAACTAAGGTTTCTCATATATCTATCGATGGTGACGTTTCTATTGCGGTTCAGTATATATATATATATATATATATATATATATATATATATATATATATATATATATATATATGCCGCACCATAGGGCCCAGGGTAGCATGTGTCCACAACATTGCCGGTCGTAAAAGGCAACCAAATTGGGCAACCTGTTTGCCATGGGCTGCGTCCCTGTGTCGGCAGAGGAAGAGAGTCTGGTGGTTGAGGACACCGGAGCTGGCAATAGCATTACATAGTGCAACACACCAATTAGACCCTAACCTTGCATAGACGGGTGGTTGAATGTGCCAGATTATATCAATCGTCTGCTCATGTCACGCCCTTTGCATATAATATGTTGATTACAGTTTTGGTATTTTAAAACTTTTGAAATTCTAAATGTCAATTATGTATGTATCAATCTATCAACTTGCTTTGAGCCCTATGCCCAGAAGGCAGTGGCACATGAGCCAATCTGGTGATGCTGACCTTCTAATTATGTACCAGTGCCCCTTGGGACATGGGGTACAATGTGCCTCCAGCACACCATTGCAGGACCTGAAAAGCGACCGAATAGAGCAACCTGTTTGCCGTGGGTTGTGCCTTTGTGTCAGTGGAGGACGGGATTCCGGTGGTTGAGGGCACTGGTTCCTAGAGTAGTGTTTCTTTCTCCAATACACTTTTTCCACATAGACGGATGGTAGAATGGGCTTGGTTCTATCAATCGGCTGGTCATGCCAAGCCCTGAGCTTTTTATTCTTTCTATCATTGTTTGGCTTGGGTTTTTGATATGTTATTCACGTGTTTGTTATTTAATTTATATACAATGTGATGTATGGATTTTCAATCTTCATAAAATGTAAAAAAATGCATAGATGGTGGTGCCAGAAGTTGGTGGTTCATTGACAGTCAACAAACACGTTGAATTCATTTGATTTTCTCAGATAGTACTGTCAGTACCTCGTAGAAACCATCCGAGTTTGGTACAGACTGCATCAGGAGTAGAGGTTGACTGGTTCTTCTGGACTGGTTCTCCTGGAAGAAGTAGTTGTGCATGATCAGATCAAGTTAGGACGAGAGATTCGGTTTTCAATCATAGAATGAAGTCGTTCAATTCTGTTTCAGTGGCATGACGTCGTAGTTGAACGGTTGCTAACAGACAGCATTTTGTCAACCGAGAACCCCTTCTGTTGTGGGACTTATCTTGATGTTTAATGACCCTGTGGATATGTATGGGGATTCCCTCACAACGTGATATGGGAATTTCGAATGCTTGGTCAATCGTTGAGCATCTATTGCATTTTCTTTTATTTGATTGTCTACTATTCATCGACGATAAGTCACACCTATGGTTGTGATCCAGCTATTTAATCTAATCGTTTCCTGGCGACAATGTCGAAACAACAGTCAGTTAAGAATTTCTTTTGCAAAGGTGATGTCACTACAACTACAACAACGCCTTTGGTGTTACAATATGAGCTATGGTTGTGGGATTTTTTCAGCTGATAGATAATGTCACTCGCAGGGGACAAGAGTCACACTCTTGGAATTAAAACTCGAGATCACATCGGAAAATCGTGACAGCAAACTTTTCTGCAAATTATAGTAGGTCAGAAAATAAACGTAGTATCATGGCTACTGTAGGTTCTGCTTTCAAGAAACAACACCCAGGCATACAACCTGCTGTGAGAATTACTATGAAACGATCTAACGCTCACAAAGTAGACACTACTTATGGATAACAACAATATCACATATTGTACCCATGTCGGGAATCGAACCCGGGTCTTCGGC